GTTGATTTTTTTTTTTTTTTAAATCATAAAAAGTTTTTTATATCAGATAAATTTTATTTTACTGTTTCTTTGATTATTTCATTTCTTCTTTTTTTTCTAGAAAGCTATTAGATAGTTTTGGGGTCTCTGTGCTATTCATGTTGCTTTTCTTTTGTGGTCCATTAACCTTCTATTTTATCTTCTGGGAGATGTTCTTGACATTGTCCTCTAGGTTACTGGCTGTGTATTCACCTGTGTTCATTCTGATATTTAACTCGTCTATAATAGACAAGTTTTTAAAATTTTGATGATCTTATTTTGTCAGTTTGATTATTTGTGTGCTTTACTTTTTAATTTTTATAGATGCAGTATCCTTTTGATCTTCTTTGAACCTATTTTCATCTTAAGCTTTAATATATCTAAATGCAGAGTTTCAGTTTATGAAATAAACCAAGCGGTTTGTCATTTCCTACTATAAAATATTGAAAATCAAGTGCTAAATTGATACTTTACTTGTAAAGTTGTTTATTAAATTATATGTTAACTCTATGATTAGGTATTATTTTTTCATCTTGAATTTTTTTCGTGCTGTTGGGTTGTCTTGAAAATGTATTTAGCTGAATGAGAGATTAGAGTGATTAATATAGGTTGGTGACATGGATTATTATTATTATTATTTTGTAAAATAGTATCTTTGTTTTCCAGTTTTGGAGGTTTTTTTTTTGTTTTGTTTTGTTTTTTTGAGTTGGAATCTCATTCCATCACCCAGGCTGGAGTGCAGAGTGCAGTGGCGAAGTCTTGGCTCACTGCAACCTCTACCTCCTGGGTTCAAGTAAGTCTCTGCCTCAGCCTCCTGAGTAGCTGGGATTACAAGTGCCTGCCACCATGCCTGGCTAATTTTTTGTATTATTATTTTTTTTTAGTAGAGAAGGGGCTTCACCATCTTGGCCAGGCTGGTCTTGAACTCCTGACCTCATGATCCACCCACCTCAGCCTCCCAAAGCACTGGGATTACAGGTGTAAGCCACCATACACAGTCCCAGTTTTGTATTTCTAGGTTTTAACACCAGACCAGGCACAGAGGGTCACATTTAATGTTGAATGAATGATAAGTTCAAACATTTTTTTTCCTCTGACTCATATGATCACAGTATTGTCACCTGAAGTCCTTATATTGTATAGTACCTTTTACTTTTTGAAAGCATTGTTTTCATTTTCATGAGGATTTTCTGCTTCCCAACTGAGGAACTTCCTGACTTTCGACTTCCTCAGTTAAGTTTTGCATTTTCACTTATCATTGAGCTATTTATATGTGTATTTTTACAGAAAGCTTTAATTTGGAAACATCACACTGAATCACTTTCTAACACCCTCAATTTGCTGGAAGAAAACTTAGAATCAGAAATAGGCATATTTAAACCCATATACCATAGATCTAGAAATCTATAGAAGTGTCTTTTAATCATTTGATTTATATTGGCTCTTACTATAAATAATAGTTCAAACAGTCATGTTTTTATAGAAACACACTTTAAAAGAAGAGGATTGTAAGAGCAATCTAATGATAACTGAAGGAAATAATGCTTATATCCTAGTGTAGTCTAATACTTGGGGTTTATAATGATAACCCTTAATTAGTAAGAAAAGATCAGATTTGCTGGATTCTAGAGTAGAGAACATTTTTAGTTATTTGAAATCATATAGACCTGATGCTTCCCACCCCGCCACCCCACCGTCTGACAGAGTCTTGCTCTGTCATTCAGACTGGAGTGCAGTGGTGCAATCTCAGGTCACTGCAACCTACACCTCCCAGGTTCAAGTAGTTCTCCTGCTCCAGCCTCCCCAGTAGCTGGGACTACAGGCACACACCACCACGCCCCGCTCGTTTTTTTTTTTTTTTTTTAGAGATGGGTTTCACCATGTTGGCCAGGCTGGTCTCAAACTGCTGATCTCATGATCTGCTTGCCTCCACCTCCCAAAGTGCTGGGATTATAGGCATGCTAGTCCTGGCTCTTAATTGCAGCTCTGCCACTTACTGGCTGTGCAGGTTGTTTAACCTGTTTGAGACTGGGCCCTCTTTTTGAACTCTGGATTGGTTATGTCTCTTCCTCTGGCACCCTCACAGATGTCCTTTACCTAGAATGATTCTGTCTTCTCCTCT